CCGCCCGCGGCAGTTGGAGGCCGGTTCTTGCGGGGGGACGAGGACTTGGCCTCTGCCCCCCGTGGCCGCGGGCCGCGACGTGGGTTGGCGCGGACGGGGTTCCGCTCGCGGGCGGGAAGGGCTCTGCCCGTGTGGAGGAGGCGACCCCCCGCCTTCTTTCGGGGAGACACGTCGGTAGCGAGGACTGTGGTTTCCTTCTTTCCCTGTCCTCACCCCACCCCAAGCGAAACTTTTGTGTGAAACCTACTTTTTAAAAACGTGTTCCTGTTTTCAGAGGTGGTTGAGCCAGACAGGTTTATTAGAACCATCCATTAACTTTTCAGTATTACTGGAGCATAATGAAAGAAAAAGACGAAAAGAGAAAGAAAAAGAGAGGGGGAAAAAAAAAAGGAAACGAGTCTTAGGAGGGGATGATTTAAGGTACATAAAAAAGCACCACCTTTCCCAGAATTAATTCGGAGAGAAAAACCTTTGCAGCGTCCTGGCAACTGCAGCCCGGAAAAACAGCGCTAATGGGAACAATTAGAGCAGAAATTACTTCTGGCTGAAAAATCTGTACCTTATCTGTGTGAGGTTAAGGTTCGCTGTTTAATTTCTGAATTTCATTAAATGCTTCAACGGTTCAGTGTTTTTATTTGCTAGTTCTAAAGGTAGCGGTAAGTCTGAAGCAGAAACTACTTTTGTGGGACTGAGACATTGATACCTGTTTTTCTCTCTTCTAGAACAGCTTAATATTCAGACTAAGTAATGTGGTGTTTCAGCCTTCTGTTAACCCCCCCCCCTTTTTTTTTTTCCAGTAAACATCATTCGAGGAAAAAAAAAGAAAAAAACTAGATCTGTCTGCCCCTGCCATTCACATGTTGAGACCTTATTTTTAGCTACCTGTAAATTTGCTTTATTAGGAAACCAGGCTAATGATGTCATTATAATACCATATTGTTGTAATCCTTGGGCTTTGTTGCAGTAAGCCTTAGAACAGTAATTTGACTCTGGAAGTTAATTATTACAGATCTGATCTCATGCTTTTGATTTGCCAAGAGGCTTGATTACATATCACTTACCCGATCATATTTTTGTATCACTCTAAGGGGTTTTCATAAAGCTTCTACACAATAAAGATACCATTTCTCATTGTTATTTTTGTTGGCTTGAATAAAATTCTGAGCGTATAAACACTATCTTCAGCACAGAAAATCTGAACACCACGGAAAGGAAGGACGGGAAGTTGTGTAAATTTATAGGGTAGCTATTTCGCTGGGATGGTTAACAGGTTGGACAAGTTGCTATGAGTAAGAAATGCTACGCTGACATTCAGTTGCTCACCTCACTAGTTTTACTTTTACATTATCAGATCTTCTTAGGATGTAATCAGAACTGTGCCAGTGTAGGCCCTTGTATCTCTGCTTCAGTTTGTGTAGTCACTTAAACTACATATTCGGGGCAGTGGATATACCAAGTGATCAAAGTATGCTGTACTCTCCCAGTCATAAACAGCTATTCTGGTTACTACATGAGGGGACTATTTGATTCAAAGTCTGGTTTGGATTGTACTTCCCTTTGCTGAACGGGTTGAGTCACATGTATTTTAGCAATAGTTTTAACATTCAGATAAGGGGGACAGGCTTGGGGAAATTGATAAAGGTCAAGGACAGGTTTTTGGAGTTACAAGCACATTTTATTCATTTTATGGATCTTGATTTTCAAAAGATGTTTTCTCACAAAAAAGGTTTATTCTCATTTTGCTACAGAAACAACCCCAAGGCTCTGTTTTTTTTTCTAATTAAAAAATAAAGTTTGACTCCTTGTCTCTACAAAGTATTTTTACTATTTCACACGATGGGAAAATCAGAGGTTGACAGGAAATTGACATTTTCCCTTGGGGAAAGAGTTGAGTAGAAAAGACAAACATTTTTTTCTTTTTCTCTTGTTTGGCTCGCAATCTTCAAGTTATTTTATGTGAAAAATACTTAGACTGTGTTTCTTGTACAGTTTGTATTATACATAGCACATTTGTTTTTTGCAGCATAAGTACGTATTAATTAGACATGACAGCACCTTGACTATATAACAGTGTCAATGCCATTAGCTACCCACTGTTTGGTAGATATTAACTACATATGACTGTTTAAATTAAAATTTGAGTTCAATTTGAGTTCATTAGACATTTCAGAGCAGAATGTTTCACTGTCAGAAAATTTTGTCAGACAGCACTGATTTAGACTTTTAAGTGAAGGTCTTTGTCAGTGTGTATTTTAGTTAACGTGTAATATTTCTTTATAGGATAATATTTGTTTTCCGAGCGTTTGTTACATTTAGAGAGCATGATATGCATGCTACACACGCGAAAGTGAGAATCTTATTCATCACTGCTTATTACTCACATTTGGCATAGAGTAAGCATTGAGTATGTGTTTGTGGAATAAATAATAAGGAAAGGAAGAATGGGTTCATAGTATTATTTCTGTGTTTAGAGGTAAAGTGACAAAATTTCAAGATTTCCCACCCCAGAAACAAATTAGAAAATGACTGCATTTATACAAAACCCAACTTAATGTGTCATATTAAATGTTTCCATAAATGTCCTCCCTTGGAATTTGTATTATCAGTTGTGGAAGGAGGCTGAAAAGATTGTCTTCTGATACACTTGAGAAAAAGGGGAAGCTTTTAACTATTATAACTCCTCAGCTTTCTATTATCTTGCGCCTCACATTTAGCACACTTATCTTTGTATATGTTTAATCCTTCCCCCCTTTGAACCCTGCTCTTTTCTCAAGCTGACCAATATGCTTGTTTTTTTGATCTTCTTCTTTCTTCCTGAATTTCCTATCGCTTATCATTACAATGCTTGCCTTTTTTCCTTTAACCTATACAAGTGTTCAAGCCTCCTATCTTTGCTCTGTACCTGCTAAATTATTTTTAATTATTGTATATAACAGTACCATCTAATACATTTAAAACGTGACTAGTTCAACTTGAGATGGTCTTAATATAAAATATGCGTTGGATTTTAAAAACAGTGTGGGAAACTAAAAGATCTCAAATACAATTTTTGTTTTGTTTCTTTTTTTTTTTTTTTTTTTTTGGTGGAACCGGGGATTGAACTCAGGCCCTTGCGCTTGCCAGGGAAGCGCTTATTCCACTGAGCCATCTCCCCGGCCCCTTTTGTTTCATTTTTGCTTTTTTTTTTTTTTTCCTTTTTTAATTTGGCAGGACTTGGGATGAACTAAGGCTACATATATGCTAAATGAGTGTCTACCACCAAGCCACACCCCAGCCTTCTTACTTTTCTAAAAAGTGTTGTTGCTAGGAAATTACACAGCTTGCATCTGTGGCTCATGTTACTTATTCCTAGTCCTTCATATGACATTAAGAGTGAGTTGTTTTCCTGGATAGCATATTATCTAAGTCTAGATATCCTATTTACTGGATTAGACTGTAAGTATCTTTTTTTTTTGCTCCAAATGCTTTCAGGGCAGGTTTGGCTGGCTTAGTTGTGGGGATTGAACCACAGCAACCTGAGCCTGACTGCTTTATTGAAGCAGCCACTTAAAGAACTGAACTAAGGGGCAGGCCCCCTAGACTGTAAATATCTTAAGGCAAGAACCATACTTATCTGTATGGATATCCTTTGTGTTAAAATAGCAGCTAGCCCATTGTAGGTACTCAGTCATCAAGTACTGGTTGGACAAATGAATAGTAGATTGAATTCAGTTTGGAATTGGCCTGTTTTCCTTGTATTTCCCAAGGAATGAAGAAAAATAGGAAAAGGAAACATTGGCCTGTAGTGACACTGTTTTTGTGTGGCTCTGTAAGTTTTAACCTTAAAGAAGAAATGTTTAATAATTTAAATATATTTTCAATTTTTATATTTCATGAGTCCATGCTTGTACACGATTACATCTTCATAGGGAGTTTGTACATGTACATAACACATTGGCATCCTTTCCCCTTCTATCTTTTTGCCCCCTTCCCTTTTGCAAACCCTACCTCCCTATTTCTGATTACCTAGCTTTCATTCATATATGTGTGTATATATATATATATATATATATATATATATATGGTTTTGGGTTTTTGTGTAAGAAAAACCATGCACTATTTAAGCTTCAGTATCTGATTTATTTCACTTAACAGTGTGGTCACAAGGTCCCATAAATGATTCAAGTTTACCCTTTATGTAGAAGTAGTACTCCA